AGTAGGGACGTGCAGGAGACAGCCAATCAATCATTCTCTCTCATCATTGATGTTTCTATTTCTCTCTACCTCTCTCTTTCTCTCTCTGAAATCAATAAAAATATTTAAAAACATATAAATGCATACATAAATAAATAAATATTCATTGAGCACCTACCATGCAGAAAAGTGAACACTCAATTCTTGCCCTTAGGGAGTTGATGGTCCAAGGAGGAGATTATCAAATACTGGGCAAGTTGGGTTATCATCCATGGATGCTTTAAGAATTCTCTCACCCCCATTCAATGTATTTGACAAATAGTAGGTGTTCAGTTTTTTAGGCCTAAGAGATGTCCTGAGGATGAGTCTGGCTTGCTGAGGGCCGAGGCCATGCAATGTCCATGTTTCTCTAGTAACCACAGTGGGGACCTAATGAACGTGTGGCCTGATGGTGACGGGACAGCTCCTGGGGGCCTTTCTCATCAGCAGTCTCAGGGCTCTCACTTCTCATTATATTTAGAAGCACCCAGCCCTGTGATTCATGAGGTCTAAACGGACTAGTGCTATGTGACCAGAATGGTGTTTGGGTCAAGGATGCAGCACATAGGATGGAGGCAGGCAGGCCTATGTGTGAACATGCACAGGAACATGTGTGCATTATGTGTGAACCTGCACACAAATGCGTTTATATGTGTGAACATGCACAGGCCCATGTGTGCATATGTGTGAACCTGCACACAAATGCATATATATGTGTGAACATGCACAGTAACGTGTGTACATATGTGTGGACCTGCACACAAATGTGTATATATGTGTGAACATGCACAGGAACGCGTGTACATATGTGTGGGCCTGCACACAAATGTGTATATATGTGTGAACATGCACAAGAACGTGTGTACATATGTGTGGACCTGCATACAAATGCATATATATGTGTAGACATGCACAGGAACATGTGCACACATGTGTGAGCATGCACAGGCCACACAAGGACAGTCTCCCAGTGCTCCTTCGAGCGCATCTCACCCATAGAACTCGCAGGTCTGGTTGCCCAGGTACACAGCCACGCTGCTCCCAGCTCCAAGATAACGGCCCGTGATGGTCACCATGGTGCCTCCGGACTCTGGGCCGCGGATGGGGTTGAGGGACAGCACGGAAGGGTTCTTTGGGAGGAAGCAGAGAAATGATCACAGCTCAGGTTTTGTGCAAAGGGACGGACACAGGCTAGACTTAAGGACAGAAGGAGGAACCATGTCCATGCTCTGAGTGGAGGTACTTTTCCTGCCCTTTTGAATCCCACACACTCCCCCCCCCACCCCCCCCGGAGCTGAGACCCTTTCTGAGAGGCTCCGGGCATGTCCAGGGAAGACAGAAAGGTCATGCTTCGGAATTAATTAACTCCCCAGGGAGTCTCGTGCCCATAACATTGATGGGAAGGCAGAGGTGACACTGACTAATCTATCAATTAGTTTACAAATTGAGAACAATTTGAAAATGCTTCTCTATCTAGAACCTGTACTGATTTTTTTGGCACAAAATCGATAGGGCTGGATAAAGCATCCCTGCCTGGATCGGGCCACCCTGAGGCTAAAGTCCTCCATTAAGGGCCACGCACATCTGTCCATGCCTCCCTAAGCATGTGAAGGACACGGTAGTGTCCCTGGTGCAGAGGGCTGTACGGGAATGTTAGACATGGCTTCCCCGTCCTGCACCAGGAGGATGGATGGCCCATCGCTGGCTGGCGCTTTTCAGTAAGTTCATTAAGTTGTAAAATTAAGCCTGAAGCTTAGAAGAAATGTCATCAGGCAGCCGACCTGAGTCAAGAAGGATTTGCTTCTGCCTCTACAGAGGGCGGTGGGGCAGAGTGGAAAGTGTATTTAACTGAGCAACTACACAGGCATGAACTAGTCCCCATTAGCCACTCAGTAGCAATGAGCCCTGAAGCAAGGCTCTGGATCGCCCTGGGCTTTCATTTGCTCCCCTGTGGAGAGCAGGGTGAGCTAAAGCGTCTCTACAGCTCCTCCCTGCTCTGGCATTCCGCAGTTCTCTCTGCATCCGGTGTTTCTGCACTTGCCTCTCACAGAAGAACCCGTCTGCCTGTGCGGAGGATGGGGTAGGCTGGAGGCAGATAGGCCGAGGTTCTCTCCGGCCGAGAGACAAGAATACAAGAAAAAGGTGCAGATGCCGGGACAGGAAGGCAGAGACGGGAGAACCGACAACAAGCAGTAAAAATGCTGCAGAGAACAGCATCTTGTGGTTTAGGGATTTTTCAAAACTCTCAGCAAGGCTAGTTTGCCCCCACCTGCTGGTGCTAATACTTCTTAATGAAGCCAGGTAGGTAAGTGTCAGAAAAGGGACTTAAGGGCCCAAAGGCAAATTATTGATTCAGTAGGCACCTTAAAGGAGGCCTTTGTGGTTTTGCTACCTGTTGCCTGAGCACAGAGAGATGGTTTCAGGTGTGAATGTGTGCTTACTTGCGTGTAACCACACCAACACACAGAGCAACTCGCTTGTACACCCCACTCCTGCGCTCCCACACAAAGACACGGTCCTGCAGGATTTCAAGGGCCTCCGCCAAATTCCTACTTACAATATCCTCGGTACAAAACAAAGCTTGAGGTGAATCTAGACCTTTTTAATTGGGTCCTCCAGGCGCTCTGGCCTCATTAGGCCGAATTAGGCGTGAAAATACTACTTCGCCATCGAAAAGGGCCACCCCTCCCTAGCCTGGGAGGTGCTTTCTAAGATCTGAATTCTAAGAAAGGCCTGATCTTGTCACGTTTAGAACTCTGACCTTTGGCTCTGCTGGGCTCCAGTCTTCACAGAATCCTAGTCATACCCCCATCCCACTCGGAAAGACAGGCTTGCAAAGTGAGGCCCGAAGTTCCCTTTTCTGGTCTCTTGGCAGTGGTGCCTGGCTTGGGAGGAGGTGTGTGGAGGAGTCCAGAAGGAAGTGTGCCCTTGCTGGGAGCCTGCACTAAACCCCGCACTCACCACAAAGGTGTACTGTTGATGGGACTTGGTCATGAACTCTGGTTTGCACTCGCCAATGCACAGGCGCACGGGCCCAGACGTGGTCCCCACGAGGGCATGGCCCATCTCACAGACGATCCTGAGAAGAAAGCACACCTTCCGGTGAGAAGCCGGGCAAGAGCTGGCATCCCTGCCCTTGCTGCTCACTGTCACAATGAATGACTCCTCACAGCCTTTCAACAGTGCTAAACCAACCAAGATGCAGCTTGCTCACCCATCTGAGCTGTGTGACCTTGAGAAAACAGCTTTCCCTCTCTGGGCTTTCGTGTCTCATCTGTGGAGTGAGAGGTTGGATGAGATCATCTCTAAAGCCCTGTGTGCCTCCAAAATGCCCAATTCTCTGAACAAGCGTGTGGTACCCAGTGCCTAGTGTAGTGCCTACCCCTGGGTGGCTGCCCACTATTTGTGAAATAAACCAAATGCCCAACAGAGAGGTTCTGCCCAATTGAATGTTCTTTCCCATGTGACAAGCCAACACTGCAACTCTCCCTAAAAGAGGGAGCGAGGGCCTATTTGCTGAACTGATTCAATTGTGGTTTGCTTCCTGCAGTGAGTTTTCAAAAGAGAAGAGATAATCCGGTGAGATAGTGAGAGCCCAGAACAGGAGCCCGGAGCACAGCGGGAGGAGTGGAGTCCTGTGGCCGCGGGTGAAGGGCTGGGAGGCAGATGAGTTCATTAGGACAGTGGCGGGCACTGGACTCCCACTTAATCAAGGGCTGAACGCAGGAAGCTGCTGGGGGAGGCAGCAGCCGGGCACCCTTAGTAGGTTTGCTTAGTGGGGAGTCGGTAAAAGACCCCCCCAACCCCCACCCCCTGCACTAATCCCCAGCCTTATCCTGGCCCGGTGGGGAAGATCGGCGTTTAACGGAGCGATGCTTATCTCAACCGCTTCTCTAGGAAGGAAGGTAACTAAACCGAAATTTCATTCCGATGCAATAAAACCTGCATTAAACAAATATACCGCATGCTCGCACACATGGCGTGCGCGGATCTCCATTTCCTCCATCACAGTTAATCCCAAATAAGCACTTCACTCCTGGTGAATATTTACTTAACATGCAATAACTGTCTGGCTACGTTTAGCATATTAGATTCAACAAGCAAGAACTGAATCACTGGGAAGGCTACTCTCCCGTCCCTTTCTCTATGAATGAATACGTTAATTATGAACCCAGAGTGAAGATGAGAGCGATGATCAATTAGTATTTTACACGTAGCCGTCTCCTCAAACCTCATTAGCAGAGCATCGGAGAAGCCTAATTTATGTCACCGTGTGTGGTGATCTCAGTGCTGCTACCTGCGTGGAGTGGCCACGCTCAACCTGCCTCCTGGACCTAGCGCTGGCTGCTGTGTGGGGCCGGGCCACCCTGCAGACCATCAGGAGCTCCAGAGGCACAGAAGAGAAGGGGGCAGGTATGTCTCCTTCCCTCTCTTCCAATCAGGGCTTTCTTGTCCCTCACTCACCCCCCCCCACACACACTTGGACAATCTGCCAAAGTGATTCTCAAGAAAAGGAGGAAGGAATCATGGCAGGCTTGATATCATGGCAAGAGGAAACATGAGAATATGTGAAGGTCATGGGCATATCTGTTCCTCCTTGGGCCACCCCAGGGCCTGTCTAGGAGAAGACAAAGCCTAGACCGGCTTCAGCTGTGCCTGGATGACGTTAACAAAGGGCCAGGACCTCTGGGCACTCTGCCTTTTCTAGAACTTTTTTTTTTTTTTTTTTTTTTTTGCTCAGGGGTCATGTCCCAAAAGATACGCCTCACATGTCAAACACCTGGGAGAAAGGGGATGCATGGAGATGGGCACTGACCAGGTGTCCAAGGCTGAATGGCTGCATCGGCTCTGAGTGCCTCGCCTAGAAAGGGGTGATGTGGGGGGTGAGGGGCTGGGCAGGGGGGGCTGGACCGCTGCAGCTGACCCTCTCCCACCGGTGGAATGAGGTTCCACTGCAGCGAGTGAGCGGGGAGAGAGGCGGTGGGCTGCGGAAAAGGGTCGGTCGGTCTCAGAAACAGGTGAGAATCCTAAGGAACCAGGCAGCGTTGTAGAAGAACTCAGTGCCCTCGAACTCTCGTCCTTTTCCTTCCTGGGAGCCAGGGCTTGCCTCCTGGAGTGTGTCTGTTGCAGGTAGCTGTTCTCTGAGCTCAGGGACAGGGGCAGTTCCAGGAGAAAGGAAGGGCAGCCGCCGGGAGTGGGAAAGTTATCATGAGGAGTGTGGGTCCGGCCAAAGTAGATTCTGTGTCTCCATAGTAACAGGAGCTCCCCTGGACTGAGTGGTGACCTGGCAGGCACCGGGTAGGACAGGATCCCGTGTCCTCAGCCTCTCCTACCGGGAGGGTCTGATGAGCTCCTTTTATAGACAATGAAACTCAGGCTCCGAGGTGCTCGGTGACTCACTGTAGCCACAGCTCTGTTAGCCGCAGTGCCCTATTCAAGTCCACGTCAGCCGGCTCCAAAGCTCATGCCTTTGACCACTCCACTCCGCTGCCTCTGGGATTAATGGAAGGACCTGTGTGTCTGTTGGGAAGGGGCCAGGGTCAACATGGCAGCCATGCTGGGGTGGAGTTGAGGTTGCTGTGGGTAGAGGAGTGGGGGAGGGAAGGCCTGGCTGGGGTCCCAAAGCCCCGAGAGCTAACTACCTGTGCCCCCGCCTTCCTGGCTGTCCATGGCCACAGGCAGTGGTGTGTGCACCACTTCCTCCTTCGGGCCTTACCAGGGGGCCAAGCTCCTGTGGTTTGATTTCTGGAGGCCGCCTGCCTTCCCTGCCTCCTCCCAGTGTCCCTGGTGGCTCTGGGCTCCCTACGCGCCATTAGGAGACAACAGATGGCCATGTTTTCTCCTGATAAAGTGAGGAGTTGGACTAAATCCCTGTCCAGCAGTCACTTAGCTCCAGCGTTCGAAGGCTTGACTCCTCCTGGTTGGGAGGGATTTCTGGAGACACATTAGTGTCACCAATGAGCTTTCTAATAGTGGGAGGAGCAGGCCCCGTGGGGCATACACGTTACTCCTTCTGCTATCCTAAGGACCACAGACGTGACTGTAGGGACCATCTATGTCTACCTACCCATTTTCCAGATGAGACATTTGAGGACCAGAGAGCAAAGTCACTTGCTCAAAGTCTCCTAGCTCATCAACAGCTCAACTCCTGACTCCCTGCTAGTGCCCTCACACCCACCCGACCACCTCCCTTAAATTGGCAGAGGCGATAGTTTTCAGCCCAGCACTGTGCACCTGGGGGTGGGGGGCACAGTCATCCAACACGCATCCAGCTGTGGCTGAGTTCACAGGTGCCGCAGATAGGAGGGAGGTGGTCTGAGCCCCGGAGCTGAGTGCCGATCACACAGAGCCCCCGTCCCAGGACCGGCTCATTTGCAGCCTCAACCTGCATCCCACTGCCCGGAAAACGCCCTGTGGTAGGATCCTCCGGCCCCCGCAGTCCTGTGGGGTGCCGACCGTAGGACTAAGCGGGGCCCTTTAACCAACATTAACCTAATTGCTGAGTGATAGATGGCAGGCACCAGCATCTGGTGAGCCATTACCGTGCCTGCTAATCCTGCCCGAAGCCAGGACTCTGCACCGTGCACAGTGAGCCAAATCCATCTCTCGCAGACATCTGTAACGATTGTGCCTGCTGCTCCCTGCCCGGGATGGAGGCTTTAATGATGTTAACAAACTCTGAAACCTCGAGAGCAGTGATGAGCCTGGCACGGCTGGAAACCAGGGTTGCATCCCGCTGAGGCGCCGGGCGGGCCCACCCCTGCGGCCTGCCCTGTGCCCTGAGGCGGTGGTGGTGGTTTTCTAGGGCGACCACCAGCCTTGGCAGGGAGCCCTGGTCCATTCTCCTTCCCGGGCTCCTTCCAGTTCCCATCAGGACTGTCTTCCCCGTGGCCCTGAGTGAATGCAGAGCATTTGATTTCATAGATAAAACTTTCTTACATTCGTAGGGCATGTTATAGTCCCCGTGTTCTCATCTTACTGAATTTTCCTTAAAACCCGTGCAGCAGGCATCATGGTTTCCATGAGGCCGATGATGGTCAGGAGACCGGACAGATGGCTAAGGTCTCGGGGCTGGGCAGGGGAGCAGCCAGGACTCAGAACACCTTTGCATCCCAAACCTCATGGCACCTCCATGTCCCGCTGCCCAAGCTCTTCTCACCTCAAAGCCATACCCCTCACCCACCCAAGCCCTTTCCCGTGGCATCTCCCCAAGCTGGAGACTTAGCTCATGTCTAGAGGCACAAGGCAGGGCCTGGACGCCCCAGGGATTTGGGTCAGTGAGACCGAGGGGCTAGTTCAGCCTGGCAGGGCACTGGCCCCTGTAAAGCCCTTGACTGTGAGGATCTCTCAGGCCGGCCTGGCTCCTGCCCACAGCTGTCCCCTCCTCTCCTGGCTCAGAAGTGCTACTAAGTCACGTCCCTTTCCCCTCCCTCCTCTCTTCCTACAGACCCTGCCAGCCTTTCCCGAAACGCTCTCCTCGCAGGGCTAAGGTTGCCGGGGAAGGATCCCACAGGCTCCTTCTCCCCTAAGGGCAGGTGTCCCACTCAGCCTCGGAGCGTGGGAGTTCACCCTCTTGCCCTGACCCAGCCCTGGGCTGCACTGGGATCAAGGCCCCCGAACCTGGAAGCCACTTCGTGATGCATCATGAGATTTCCAGGCCACTCTCACCCGAGTCCACCCCATAGCTCGTCAGGAAGGGAAGACTCCAGGCCCCGCTCTGCCTCGGCCACTTGTACTCTGAGCGAACGGGATGGGTTTTCACTCCTCTCATGTTTTGTAAAATGACGATAATGGTATGTACCTCGCAAAGTCTTGACCAATGAAAAATGAAATAATCGGTGAGACTGTCCAAGTGCTGATGGAAGAAAGTGATGCCATTTTTATGGTCGCTGGTGCCACTTTTATGGTTGCTACTAAAGCTTGGTTCTGGGGGTGGGGGTCAGAGGGAGGACCTGAGGCTGCAGGGGGCAAAGCTTAGGGGGAGAAGCCCCATCCCCAAGCCGTGCTCTGAGAACCCAGGCAGGGCTGTGTTCTCTGAGGAATGAGGGCGACCTGACCAGACTTTATGTGACCAATGATGCAGAGTGATCTGGCTGCTCCCCGCCTTTTCTCCTTTGAAGGGGAGGCACCCCTCCTTGTACCCTCCCGCCCCCGCTTCATGCCCGCCTCCTGCCCACCAACTCCACAGTGGCCGCCACTGCCAAGTGAACACCCAGATTGGAACATATGTCACTCGTGGAGCCCCGATCGCCTGTCCGCTGCGACATGCCTATTTTCTAATTTCCAGCTGACATTTCTCTTAGTGAAATAAATGAATTTGCTCCGGCGGAGGCCCTGCTCGGATTAAGCTGCTGTCAGAGCCCCAGGAGCCAAACAAATTGTTGCCCACAGCCCACCTTGCGGAATGCATTCCAATGGGGCCTGGCGGGGAGGGGCCGGGAAGAGGCGGAGCCTGGGCTGGCTGGGAACTGACTCAGTCATGCCAGCTGGGCAGGGGGACACTGAAGGAGGGGCAGCATTGCACAGGGATCCCTGATGCCAGAGGAGCCAGGGGACAGGGAAGAGAATGGACTATGACCTTCTGAGAATGGAGGTGGGAAAGGACAGGGCCCTGGGTGGACTTCTGGGCGCAGGGTCCACGGGAGAAGGGAGATGGGAAATGACTCTTGGAAAAGCCTCAGAGAAAGGGGGGTGGAGGGGAGTCTCCGCCCACCCAGAAGCTCCCCTGGGAAGGGGCAGGCCAGAGCAGACCGGACTCACTGCTCAGCGATGATGTACTCCCCGGGCAGGGGTGTGCAGGGCACCCCAGCCACCTGCACGTGATGGGCGATCTCGGAGAAGTCCAGACCCAGGTTCACGCCGTGGATGGTCACTCGAGTCCCTCCTTCGGGTGGTCCAGACACTGTCAAAATCTGTGGGAGGGAAATGGGATTAGCAAGCCTTCGTCCTCAGGAGTACAGACAGCAGCCTCCACTGCCTTCCTGAGGGAGGCGCGGGGACTTGGATGAACATCTGGAACCTGGGTGAACAGCGAGCGTTTTCTCTACTTTGTAGCTTGTCTAGGATGTTGGCACCATATTTTTTATACTACTTCCTCGGTCGTTCGGTCATTACCTCATTCATTCATCCAATTATTAAACAGAAACCAAAAAGTACTGGACTCAAGGAATAAAACCATCATTTGAACCATTGTTTGAACATGTCTCTAATTCACCAGTTGCCTGATTGTGAGAGTCATCTCTATCAGCCTCGTCCCGGGAGCTCCCAAGTACCAAACAGAAGGTGTTTGCGAGCATTCTCTACACCAAAGAGGCTTTGCAATTGTGAGGTGCTGCTAATGCCGCTCCTGTGTGCAGGACTCCGTGGGAACACAGTGATGAATGCACAGGAAATATGCCCTCAAGGAACGTATGTTTGAAAGGAGAGATGAAGGCGGCCATACACGATGCTGATGCCAGGCACTCAGTGGATTCGAGGCAAAGCTGGGGGACCCCAGAGGAGCCTGAAGTAGGGTAGCTGCAGAGGGATGACCGAAGATGGGAGGGTGTTTTACACTGTTCTGGAAAAAAAATCCTGTGAGCATGCTACAGCCTCCCCCCCCCCCCCCAATAATAATAACTTTAGGATTTCCCAAATTTTGCTGGCTTCCTGTGAGTAAGGATTATTTATGGATTCATTTCTTAATCCAGTCACCACATGATGACTGTCTCATTTTGCTCTGGCCCAACAGGGAAGGGAACAGCAGAATTAGGCTCTCCCAAGGCATAAACTTCTGTCTAGGGAGAGATCAGGCTCAGGAAGAATGCAGCTCTTAGAGATCCCACGGATGCCAGGAATATGTTCACACCATGGGCCACAGTCATCTGAAGCTGAAGGACATCAGACCAGAACCCACTCCTAAGCAGCAACATGCAATTTCAGAACTGGAAGGGGACTTGGGTATCTTAGTCTAAGATGCTTACACAACCTATACGCACAGCTCTAAGGAAGTCCAGGGCTCCTTCCACGACCACAGGAAAGGCAAGGTGGGGAGAGAGGGAGGGGGTTGGTCAAGGCCAAGAGTCCACCAGACTCTCCCGGATGAGGCCTCTGGGCAGAGGGCTGCAGCCTTGGTCCCTTCTGTCCTTAGGTTCCTCTGGGGAGCTTGCCCTTATGCCCTTACATGCTGGTGGGGTGGCCAGTGGGCAGATGAGTCCGGGCACAGATGACAGGTGAATGCAGGTGAAAATGCTGTTGAAGGCTCTGGAAACTCTTCCACCTCCCGCCTTCCCTAAGGGGCCCTGCTCTCTTCCTGTGATACAGGCACCGTGAGTTCTGCCACCAATTCAAACACGAGTCCCCAGGTGATCGTGGACTGAGAAGAGATGTTGGGGATGGGACCACCACCATCCCTCCTCCCTCACTGCCTGAGATCTCAGTAATTGGGCTGCACAACCAGGACCTGAGATCACTCTGACCTCCTGACATCCTCCCCTCCCCCGCCATCGCCTGTAGGCCTTATATGATGCAGCCTCCTTCCTTCCTTGTCAGCCCAGGCCCTGAACTCATCTCATCCGGGGACTCATTTCACCTAAGTCACCTTGTCTATGGCTCTGACTCCCTTTCATGGGAATAAAACATCCCACCTTATGAATAAAACCAAGAAGATTCATGAAATGAATCAATGGAGGGAGAGTGGAGGGGCACACAGGCATCTCTGAGTGCTGGCGCGAGTGTCGGGGGAAGGCAGGACAATTTGGAGAGAAAAGCGCTGGCATGAGGAACCGTGGCCCACAGCTTTTCTGTCCCTGGGATGCTAAAAATAAGCAATACTCAGTCTTGGCTCTCCCACTCTCCCCTGGCAGTGTCTCAGGTCCCCGGGCCTCCTGGACTGCAAGATGGACCCTGGGCAATGAGGACCGGGGAAGGGGCTGCTCCCATGCCCCATGCAGGAGCCTCTGTTGGAAGGCATTTGCTCTCAGCAAGCTTGAGCACTTGGCTGGCTTTCCTTCGATCCACTTGGAATGAGCTCAGCTGGCCCCTCTCCCCCTCCCACAGCCACCTGGATGCAGGAACCCACCTACTAAAAGCAATTGACAAACCTGTGGTGATTGGTTCACTCTCCTTCCCCCACTTTTATTTTTAAAAATGCATTCTTTTGCTCACTGCAGTTAATTACAACCTTTCAGAAAAACTGTGAAATGAAATCTTTCTGGAAAGACTAAAAATATTTTCGTCTTGCAGGTAGCATGTAGGGATTGTATTGTGAGGAGGCAGGAGTGTTGGCGGGTTCCATGGGGCAGCTTCCTCCTGCTGGCAAGTCGTTTAGTATCCCCTGCTCACACCTCAGGGTCAGGGTCAGGGACATGGTCATGGGCACTGAGCTGCTCAGAAGCGTAAGCCAGCTTATACTGTGCAGTGAAGGAAGACTTAAAAAAAAATCATGAGCAAGTGTTATGATCTTGGCATGAAGACACATGTTGAAGAGGTAGATAGTTTGGGGCGTAGAGACATCAGCCTGATCTTTTCTAAGCCAGTGACCAGCTTTGGGAATGCAAACCTGGAGAACCAGAGTCCTTCTGAGTCATTGGGAAGCACCCAGGGAATGCTGGGGCCATGTGGGTCTTCTTCCCTACAGGGCACACGCTGTGTGCTATGTGACATGCTATGTGCTTGCGGCCAGCACCTGGGGTAGGGGGCGGAAGCATTCAGCATCCATCATGCCCTGGGGCTCACATCTTCCTTGATTAAAACGAAACTGATGGGTAAAAGTCTGGATTTCCAAAACATAGGTGAGGTGGTGAGCATTTGATTTGCAAGAGAATTCCCAGTGCCTCCATTACTGATGACTTTCAAATCTATATTGTTGGCTCAGACCTGCCTCTCGAGCTCCACATCCATATATCCAATTGCTATTGGACACCTCCATTTCCACTGTGTGTCCCGCAGGCACCTCACATTTCACCAGGTCTAAAAATGAACTCTTAATTTTTTCTCCTTCCACCTCTAACCTCATTATCCTCCCAGATTCTCTTTCAAGGTTAACGGAATCACTGTGCACCCAGCCAGGAGTCTTGCATTTTCAACTGTTTCCCTTCTCTCACCTCCCATGCGTAATGCATATTGTCGGCGGGCATGACCAGTTCTTACTCCAGGTATTTTTTGAATCTGTGCTCTGCTCTGTGCTCCAGACCAGGTGATAAGCAGGGCTCTACCACCTCTCACCCATGCTAACAGCCAGAACCCCATGTTCCTCCCTTAGGTCTGACCTTCATGAACACACACTTGCCCAGGTTACTAGCTGCTTTAAAAACCTGTCGGTGCCGGTTCTTCAGGTTCTGACCTTTGTGACATCATCCACATCTGCCATCCTGTACTATGTGTCCTGTACTATGTCCCCCCAGATACCAGTGATTCTCATACACACATGCACTTTAAAATTTCTGGGCCTTTGCTCATGTCATTGCTCTCCCCTTGCTTACAAATCAGAGAGAGTCAGGTGGCGCTCTGGGCTCAGAGTGCAAAGGGACAGGAAGGTATCCTGTCGGACACATCCCTTGCTATCTGAAGGCTTCCACATGAGAATGAGTGTAAGGGCCTTGATATCTGTGCAGTGGCTGGGGTGGTAAAAACGCAGGCATCCTGCTTTCCTATTTCGCCTCAGCACCAGGTATTGGGGAGATGCTACAGAGGGGAGGCTTGATGAGAAAGGATCTATTCTCCAGAGAGGGAGTGAGCAGGATCCCTCAGGACACCCCCTCAGACCAGGCAGCTGCAGTGTCCCAAGCCCACCCTGGAGACTAATCCTAAGGCTCTTTTCTTAAAAGCAGCATTAGAGCCCGGCCCATGGGGCTCAGTGGTTGAGCACTGGCCTATGAAGCAGGTCACAGTTTGATTCCTGGTCAGGGCACACGCCTGAGTTGCAGGCTTGATGCCCAGTAGGGGACATGCAGGAGGCAGTGAACTGATGATTGTCATCATTGATGTTTCTGTCTCTCTCTCCCCCTTCCTTCCTCTCTGAAATCAATTATATATAATTTTTAAAGCAGCATTAGATTGCAAAGCACCCAGTGTAGCACTCACAAAGCTTGTTTCTCTCAGGAGCAAAGTCTTGCCCATCCAACCCGGTCTAAAAAGAGGTTAAGTTGCTGGAGTCCCAGGTACTGCTTATAGAACTCCAAGGAAGGCCTTGCCTTCTGCCTTGCAGATCAGGAAGGTGTTGGGCTACAGCAGAAGGGAGAAGTGAAGGTGAGGGGGCAGGTGGAGTTATACAGATTTCCCCACTGACAGGGGAGAAGATATGGCCGGGATAGAGAGAGACCATCCAATGCTCAGGCAGTGTCTGTAGCAGGAAGAGTGGTCTTTGGCGTCAGATAGACTTGAGTTTGAATTCCAGCTCCGACACGTGTGGGCTATGTGACCTTCCATCCCTGTGTCCTTATCAGAAAATGGACAGTGATGCTCGCCTCACAGGGATGTTGGAAAGTCCGTGATGCAGTGGTGGATTGGAGAGCAGGCCTTGAAAAGGGGCCATTTCCTTCCTTGTGTTCCCCCATACCTGTGCCTTCCTAGATCACAAAACCACGGGGTGGCGGTGTTGGTCAGGAGCTTTAGCGGGTGGGGCTCTTCCTTCTGATCTGGAAGGAGGACACGTGGACCAGACGCACATAACCTAGATGCTGGGGTGGCCCAGGTGGGAAGAGGTGCCCTAGGTTGACTGGAGAAAGCCTGGGAGGTGGCCTGCAGCCTGGGCTTGGGCAGGGAGTGGCTGGGGTGCTGAGGGCAGGGCCTAGGTTTTGGTGGATTCTGGGCCCTGCACAGAAGCATAGTCTGAGCCATGCATCACCTTTTCTCCTGGAATAAATTTGGGAAGACACTGGTCCTGTCTAAAATGGTCCACATCCCTTCCTCCCGTCCTTCTCTCACCACGTCT